TTAGGAGAGATAACTCGGATTTATCTGTGATATGTTTAAGCCTTGTAACCAAACTTCGTTTCTAATATAAAAAGTTGTTCTAAGGAATCGTTCCAATGTATTGCATTGCATCTACATTGTATTTACTTTTTGCATTGCATTTTATTCATTAATAGTCAAATTTTTCATATTCTTTAATAAAATATCAATATTAATAAAAGGATTGTATGGAAGAATATTGGAAACTTCTAAGCATCCGTACCATACTTGAAAAAAGGTAATGGTCGAGAGAATTGCCCAAATTAAGAAGACTCAGCTCGAAATGCATGAGAGTTTCAGGAAATCTCAAGAAGAGATATGCGAAAAAAATGTTGAAAGCTCGGAATGATATAATGGAAAAGCTAGAAAGCATGTTACAAGTAAAAAATACGAATCGTGAAGAGACTCCGATTATTGGTGCTACTACTGAAGATTTTATGTATCCCCTGGCTTTGAACCATGGGTTGATCGTGGAAAGGCTCCCAATGTTGGTTCCTCTGAAGAACCCTTATATCCTTATGGCTTTACACCACCTCATGTTAGAGCACAACAAGCAGGGACTACTCAGCCAGGAAGAATACACATAAACCTACCTGGCACCTCTGTAAACCCGCACCCAATTGAAGATGTCCCAGATTTCGACGATGATGTCCAAAAATAGTAGAAGAAATAATTCAAATGGAAATAACTGGAAAGTGAAATCAGAGCTATGAAAGAAGACACTATCATGTATGAGATCGATGGCAAGGAGCTAAGTTTGGTTCTTGATTTAGTTCTGCCACTCAAGTTTAAAATTTCAAATTTTGAAAAATTTGATGGCACAAGTGTTAGAGTATCCCCAAATATCAATCATATGATGATTATAATAATACATTTATTTACTGATTTTATTGAATAAAGACATTGCCACTATTATTTTCAGTTATATGTCTGTGTTTAACGTAAACTAAAAGATAATAAAGTCCATATAATAACATTATTAAATGATCCATAGTCAAGTATTATTATGGGCATAGACAATAATAATACGCTTAAGACTAACATGTTATTGATTGATGACAACGAGTTGTCATTGACATAGATATGTGAGAATTGATACATGAATATATTGTTAGAGAACAATGTATTGGATTGACCCATCTTGAGCATATGGCTTGGATTATTATGTAACGGTCATAGCATTGCTCGTAGTGATGACTATATATTTGATCCCCATACTTGAGATCAATGTCATCCCAACATATATTGTTGTATGTTTTGATACAGTTAAACATGCTCCATAACTGGTTGCACTATAAAGATTGTTATTGAATATATCTCAATATATGAAGTAGGGTGTGTATGATTAAGATAGAATTTGTCATTTCTACATAATAGGAAACATATCACAGGCCACTTGATTGAGTGAGACTAGAAATGCATGGCTATGCTCGAATAAGTTGATATGAGATATCACAAATTATTCGTTAATTATAGTTTACTCTAGATATCAAGAAACAATAGATGGAATATACAAGTGTGACTATTCCAAGACTTGTGCATATTCTAGATATAAAGGACAAAATGATGTAATACATAAAAGAGTTAATCATGAAGAATATATGTCGAATCATAATTTCTTGAAACTTAGGTGACAATGATATATTGTTAGATGTCATTCATTATGTATAATATTAGAATTGTTCTAATAATTACTACTAATGTTACAAGAATCTACAGGGTCACACCCTATAATTGAAATGAGCAAAGATGTACAATTTGTTGTATGTTACTAAATATATCTAGAGTTAATATATGTATATTTGATATACATATGATTTTAATTATCCCGAATATAGTAAGTAAACATTAAAATAATGTAATTTTGATTACAACTCTTTTAATTGATATTTAATTCAGAATAATTAAATAAGATTTTAAATAAAAATTAAAGATTGTAATTTAGATTATAAGTCTTTAATGTATATTTAATTTGAATTAATTAAATAAGATTTTTATTAATTCAAAATAAATTAAAATACCTAAGAGGTTAGGGTAACTGATATATTTAAGTGAGGTAAGATTTAGCATCCATTTTGACTTCAGCCGTTTTTTCTCAAAATTGATTTTGGGAAAAGAAAATTTTGCTCTCAACCGGGTGAACTAAGTAGAGGCCGAGACGTGTTTTCGTGGAGGCTTACGATTCAAACCATTCTTGATCACCAATAATCACTGCTGTTTTTCAAGGAACCCATTGTAAGTATTCGCATCATTTCCTCTCGATTTCGGTTTTACGTGCTTCGATTACTGGTGAGACCATTGTGTTTTTATTTCTGCTGTGCCGTGGGGTGCCCCGACAGTCCTAACAACAAGATATCCCTTTGCACACATCACTATGTTCTATAGAAAAATAACTAAATATGTGGGGGATGATCAACTGTTAATCCACTGCTTTTAGGAGAGCTTGGTAGGATCAGCCATCTGTTAGTACAATCAGTTGAGCGGGGCTCAAATTAAATCTTGGAAGGATTTGGCTAAAGCTTTCCTAGAGCAGTATAAACACATGAAGGATGTAAGGCCTAATCGGATCATGTTGCAGAGCATGGAGAAGAAATTTAACGAAGCTTCAGACAATATGCTCAGAGGTGGAAAGACGTGGCAGTGCAAGTTCATCTGCCACTCGAAGAAGAGGAAACCAACATGCTCTTTGTAAACACTCTAAGAGCTCCGTTCATTGGAGATCTCATAGGAAAATCATCCAAGAGCTTCCCTAATGTAGTCATAGTAGAAGAGTTGATCGAAATAGAAATCAAGAGCAGGAGGTTTAACGGAGGAGAATCTAGCAGGAAACCGCCAGTAAAAAGAAAGGATAATAAGGTTAGTAATGTGAGAAAGTATTACTTTAATAACATTATTGTGTCTCAACCTCAACCCACAAGGTCATCCATATATAACTCTACCAGACAAGGGATAAGAGAACCAAGACATGAGAGGGGAAGGCTTCAATTTGACCCAATCCTCATGTCCTACAAAGATTTGTTTCAAATTCTATATGATATGTATGTGGTGTCACCTTACCACACATCAATGATGCAGCCTCCCTACCCTATATGGTATGACGCTAATGCCCAATGCAAATATCATGCGGGGGCTTTAGGACATTCAATAGAGAATTGCATTACCTTTAAAAAGATTATCCAAAGATTAAGGTAAAGAAACGTCATCAACTTTGGTGACAATGAGCAACCAAACGTGGCTCAGAACACACTGTCGAACCATGTAGGTACATGGTCAATGCGATTGTCAAGTAAAGATGAAAGAATATTTTAACCAAGGTGAATGAGGTGAAGTCACCCATGCAGTGGGTATGGGGGCAGATGATCAAGGCAGACTTGTTGGCCTCTAACGTTGACAAAAGTTAGCATACATGCCAATGTCATAATTGTGAGGATCATACCATACAAGATTATCCTGAGTTTCGAACTTTGGTGCAAAGAATAATGGATGACAAGGAGATGGAATTTTACCAAGAAGTTGTTGAAGAGTAAGAAACAAAGATTTGTGCATCCGAGGGTACGTCTAAGGGAGTTTACAATTACAACTGTCCTCTAGTCATCACACAAAAAGTTCGTGTGGCAGAGAGAGCAACTCTTAAAATCACACCCCATCTTTATTTCCTAATAAGAACAATAAACAAGTTCCATGGAGATACGAATGTCAGATGGACAACGTGGGTATTTCGTAGATCACCAATTATGAAGTGGATGAGGTAGGCCATTTCACTAGAAGTAAGAGATGTTATTCTCCCAATCAGACCAATGAATCTGAGATTAGAACTACTGTCGATAAAGGGAAGAAAGTTGAAATATTGCTAAAAGATGATGAGTCAGTTATTAATGAGCATGTAATAGAAAACGAGGTTGTGGAGTTCCTGAAATTTTAAAGCATAGTGAGTATAGCATCGTCGAACAGCTACACAAGATATCTTCTCGCATTTCGATCCTTGCTCTTTTACTAAGCTCTAAGGTACAACGGAATGCTTTGCTGAAAATCATGAATCAGACTTTCGTGCCTAAGGATGTTATGTGGAAAAGATAGATCGACTGATTGTGAATATCCAAGCTGATAATTTCATCTCTTCTTCGATGATGAGATCCCATCCGGGATGGTTGGCAATCCCAAAGCCATGCATATTACCATCATGTGCAAGGAGCATGTGTAATACCAAGTGTTAGTTAACAACGACTCTGCACAAAATGTAATGCCATTAGTGACACTGAAGAAGTTACCGATCGACAGTACACACATGAGGAATTGCCAGAGCATTGTTCGAGCTTTTGACGGAACAAACAGAGAGGTGCTATAGAAGATCGATATCTCGTTGACCATAGGCCCATCAACTTACGAGGTTGAGTTTCTTGTCATGGACATCATGTCGACCTATAATTTCTTATTGGGAAGGACTTGGATCCACCACGCAGGGGTCGTGCCATCCACACTACATCAAAAACTCAAGTTCTTAATTAAGGAAAAACTAGTATGCATTAATGTTAAGAATACATCATTGATTTTGTATCTACTACCGGTCCATATGTTGAAGTGGAGGAAGAAGTCATTGAGTGCTCCTTCAGATCCCTGGAATTTGTTAATGCCATTTTTGTGGCTGAGGGGAAAAAGATATCAAAGCCTAGGTTGTCCAACTATACCAGAATGGAACTAAAGATGACTCTGGGAAAGGGAGCCAAGGCTGAAAAAGAGCTAGAGAGCCACCTATAGGGATCTATTAATCCAGTTTTCCCCACCATCAAGAGAAACTGATTTGGCCTAGGATATTACCCAACCTTGAAAGAGAAACTGAAAAGTATTTAGAAAAGTCAGGAAATTAAGAGAGCAAGGCTAGCCGGGGAGGATATTAAGTGAGAGCCATTAAGCGTAGAGTAAAAATACTCAGAGTATATGGGGATTCAGCCCTGGTGATTTATCAATTTATAGGTGAATGGGAAATGAAAGATCCCAAGTTGGTGAAATATAGTAAGTTAGTCCTAGAGCTTATCAAAGAGTTCGAAGAAGTGGCATTACATTACCTCCCCATGGAAAAGAATCAAATGGCGGATAATCTAGCCACTTTGGTAGCAACCTTTGAAGTAAATAAACATTCAAATATGATGCCCATTGAGATGCAAGCTTATGAGTATTATGCCCACTACTATAGCATAGAAGAGGAAGAAGATGGAAATCCCTGGTATTATGATGTCTTACAATACACCAGATATCAAAGTTATCCTGAACAGGCATCTGAAAATAACAAATGAACTATTCAAATAATGGCTACAGGGTATGTGCTTGATAGCTAGATCTTGTACAAGAAAAGTCATGATCAGGCTTTGTTGAGGTGTGTGGATGTCAAAGAAGCCAAAACAATCATTGAAAAAGTGAATGAGGGAGTATGTGGTACCCATGCTAATGGACATGCAATGGCTAATGAGATTTGGGTATTATTGGTCAACCATGGAAACCGATTGTATCAATTATGCCAGAAAATGTCACAAGTGCCAGAAGCTCCATAACCCTCCTCATCCATTACATGTGATGATTGCTCCATGGCCATTCTCTATGTGGAGCATGGATTTCATTGGACAATTTTTTCTCAAAGCTTCAAATGGTTATCTTTTTATCTTAGTGGCAATAGACTACTTCACCAAATAGGTAGAAACGACTTCCTATGCAAATGTCACTCAGTCAACAGTTTACAAGTTCTTAAAGAAAGAGATTATTCGTCGATATAGGTTACAGGAAAGAATCATCATCGCAATACCTTGAATTTAAATAATAAGATGATGGAACCAATGTAAGCAGTTCCAAATAAAACATCATAATTCCACCGCTTATCGCCCGAAGATAAATGGGGCACTAGAGGCAGACAATAAGAACATCAAAAGGCTCATAGAGAAAATGAATGAGACTTATAAACATTGGTATGAAAAGTTACCATTTACTTTGTTTGCCTATCGAACTTCAGTATGGACATCAATTGGGGAAACTCCTTTTTCTTTAACCTATGGGATGGAAGTTGTGTTACCCATCGAGGTAGAAATTCCATCACTTCGAGTATTGTTAGAGATTAAATTAAATGAAGTAGAATGGGTACAAGCTAGGTATGACCAGCTGAATCTGATTGAGGAGAAATGATTAAAAGCTATTTGTCATTGGCAAATGTACTAGAAATGTATGATGAGGGCACATGATAAGAAGGTTCATCCACGAGAGTTTAGGAAGGAGATCTGGTACTTAAAAAGATTATGTCAATTCAGAAAGACTTTAGAGGTAAATGGATGCCAAATTGGGAGGGACCTTATGTTGTGAATAAGGCCTTTACCAGAGGACATTTGATCCTTACCGAGATGGATGGACCAGAGTTACCTAATCTTTTGAATTCTAACGCTGTCAAGAAATACTTCGCATAAAGAAATAAAATGAAAAAATGAAAAAAGAAAATGAATAAAAAAAGAGAAAAATGAAAGAGAATAAATAAAAAGGGATTCAAGATGAAAACTTGTAAAGGGATTCTTGAAACCAGAGGAGGTCTAAAGTTGAAAACTCATAAAGGGAGACTTGAGGTTTGTTCAAATTCAAAATCCATGCATGATTGAGGTTTTGAATTAGTTTTGAAGACTTGAATAGTGACATCAAATGGTGGTAAGGGTTAGGACGAGAGGTTGAAAAGGCTTGGATAACTAGAAAATAAATGAAGAGTACATAAGATTCAAATACTGGTTTACGGCATCCAACATTCGGGAAACTTGATAGTACAGGGGGACTTCAAACCCTTGCGCATTGTCACAATTCTCAATATCCCTTTAACAAAAGCTTTACTCGAGTCATTCTGTGGCATATCAGTTCAAAAGCATTCATACTATTGATATCTGAGGATACTTAATTATTTTCTTTTGATTATTCTAGTTAAAAGTTTGCCATGTATTTACCCAAAAACGTTTTATTTATATAAATAAAAAGAGGTATTTTTCTTGTTAAAATCATGTTGCAAGCATCCAAATTTGAAAATAAAAACATGTAGATTAACTTGGGAAACATGAGATCATTTTGTATTGTCGTACAAAAAGTTTCAGAAAAATACAGGTGTTCTGAAGCTAAAAAATGGCTTTAGCAAGAGGCTTACTTGATGATGAGCTACATAAAGTTAAAACCTTGGGATACACGTAAAAGCTCAGCAGGTAGGGGTAATCCAAGATGTTTGTCGCTCACCAAATAGTTGGTCATAGTCATGAGCGACCAAAGAGTGTCTAATCAGAATTATCAGTTAGGATGAGTTGTTGTTGATTTTCATACCCAAGATTTGACTAAATTACAAGGCAGTTGACAAAAGAGAGTGCTAATTGGAAAAATAAAATACCCTAAAATAGCATAATTGTACACATTTTAGCCATCAATATGATCATGACATTCATAAAATGCATGTTGATGATAAATGCAATTGAGTTCTTACATGTTTTCTAAAAGGAAAGGTTGGAGATGTAGAGACCCAATATAAAAGTAACCAATTCAGATTCACATGTTTGGTGACTGCGAGACAAGCTCCAACAAGATAAATCATTTTCCAAAGATTATCATTCTAAGACTTTCAGATATGATGTTTTCAAATTCTCAAAGACACACTAACAAGGGTTAATGTTTAATTTTTAGATTTGATATTCTTGAAGACAAGAGAAGCAAATCGAACTCGATTCAATCTTCCCTGAGGAACAGTGGAATGAATCAATGTCTCCAGATCTGATTTTCCCTGAAGAAGCAACGAAATAGATCCCGCTCTTTCCATATTTGATATTCCCTGAGTAGTAGTGGAACAAGTCTGCCTTGATTTAATCTTCCCTGAAGAATATTGGAATAAATCAACGTCTCCAGATCTGATTTTACCTGAAGAAACAGTGGAACAGATCCCCTCTTTCCAGATTTAATCTTCCTTGAGTAGCAGTGAAACAAATCTGCCACGATTCAATTTTCCCTGAAGAACAGTGGAACGAATCAACGTCTCCAGATCTGATTTTACCTAAAGAAATAGTGGAACAAATCCCCTCTTTCCAGATTTAATCTTCCCTGAGTAGCAGTGAAATAAGTCTGCCTCGATTCAATTTTCCCTGAAGAACAGTGGAACGAATCAACGTTTCCAGATCTGATCTACCCTGAAGAAGTAGTTGAGAATATCTCTTTTTAGACTCCATCTTTAAAGATCTCACTTGAGATGTTCATTTTTTATCTCATTTGAGACAATATCAGATCACCAAGTACAGATTTTACTGGGTGAAACTCACTGTCTCTTCGTCTTTGCCCTATGCTTGTTAACACAAGAATGAGCAAATAGGGGCAACTGTCGACACTCGTTTTCATCCCACTATTAGTTTTATTATTATTATTATTATTAGTAGTAGTATTTAAAATATTACTTTTATTAATTTATGCAGAACCCATTACAACAGGCCCAATCTGGCCAAACAAAGTTTTTAAGTAAAACTGACCCAGATATAACAACACCCGACCCAAATGGTGAGCCCAACAGTAGGCCCAAGCCTAACTAGGGGTTTAAAACTCTAGGGTTTCAATCATCAGTAGCCGTCGTCGCTTACCAACCACAACAGTCCTACTACCACCATTATTTCTACCAACCACAACAGTCCTGCTGCCACCGTCGCATCTACCAATCACCCATCAATCCCCTCCCACATCAAATCAACCAAATCAGTAAGCAAAAGACCAAACACGCAAGCTTGTAATCATTTCTGTTTTTTAATGATGGCAAATCTGTAAAATAGGGGTTATAAAACCTAAAATATGTTATAAGAACAAGGGTTCCTCCATTTTCGTTTTTCCATAAAGCAAAAAAAAACAAAAAAAACAGAAAAGTTCAAGGTATAATTTTTTCTTGTATTTTTCAATTTCGAAAAAAAAGGAGAAAAAATAGAATATAAAAACCAAGCATTTATGAAATAAAACAGAAACAAAGAGAGAATAGTAGATCCATACCTTAGAGGGGAGTCGAATCGGGGGCTGGTTCGTTTTTGCGACGACTGGAGTGTGAGAGAACCGAAAGGTCGATGGGTCTTTTGTGTTGTTTAGGGGTTTTTAGGGATCTATGTCTATGAGGGTAGATCGGAGTGAGAGGTGCATTTTGAGGTAGGTTTAGGTGTTCCAACTGCCATGTGTGGCAGTTGGAACGGTGGCTGGATAGCGGCCGGACTTGTTTTAGGGCGACTGACAGTGGGTCGACTGAGGGAAGAGAAAAAAGATGGAAGAGGATTTAAACTTCTTCTTTTTTCTGCTGAAATGAAAAAAAGGATAAAATGGTATTTATAATGTAACTTTAAGGGAAAATCGCGCTTAAGTCCCCCTAACTCTCGCGCGTTTTTACAAAATGGTCACATGTAAGGACTGAATCTACTATTTACCTATTTTTATGCATGCTTTATAATTTTAGGGTTATTTATTGTTTAGTCCCCTTAGTTTAGTCGTATTTTTGTATTTTAGTCACCTGTAGGGATTGATTCTACAGTTTACCCATTTTTATGCATTTATATATTTAGGGTTATTTACTTTTTAGTCCCTCTATGTTTAGCATGTTTTTACATTTTGGTCATGTGTAGTGATTGTTTAATTTTATTTTAAAGTTTTTCTGGACTGATTAGGTAATTTACCCATTTTTCTTTAAAATCATGTCTTAGGCTAAAAAGGAATAATTATTAAATGGTCCCTATAGTTTCAACATGTTTATATTTCAAACTATACTCTATTTTTTTATTTAATTTAATTTAGCCATGAAATTTTATTTTATTTTAATTTGATCCCCATATTTTATTTATTTTATCCTTTGTAATTTTAGCACTTAATATTAAAAATGTTCATTTTAGTCACTTTTGCACTTTATTTTGTTTTAATTTTTAACATGATGATTTGTTTGTTTATGTTTTAGTCCTATTTGCATGTTGTTTTATTTTAATTTTTCATGTTATTTCATTTTAGTCATTAATTATTTTTGCATGATAACCTCATAAGCATTTCTCGACTCGAATCAAAATAATTTGACTAAGGGTAATATTCGTTCATTTTAATATTGTAGTAAAGTGGTTGTCTTAACGTATAAGAAAATTATTTTCGATAGTTTTAAAATGAAAGTCTATCACATTAAGTGACACGAATTAAATGAAATCCATTTTAAAATTAGTGGATTGGGAAAAAGATCATGTTCTCTTAATTAAGTTCATCGAGAAAAGACTGTTAGATCGAATCTAAGTTCCCGTCTCAA